ACTTAATAATTCCACAAGAAGGCATTCTAAAACACAGAGAAACGTAAAAGACAAGGATTTTTAAGTTTTCTAAACTCAGATCAACTCTAGACTAAAACTAAAAGAATGGCACATTAGATATGCCCTAGAGTCATCGAGCTTAGAAAACGGGCTTTCTTTTGAAATGTGCATACTTGGGGTTATTTTTACCTTCCTTTTCCTAAACTCTGTAATTTTTACAACTTCACGTATATTGTAATTGGGGGTGGGGCTACTTTCATACTGGGAAAAAATACATTATAACCTTCTGACTCAATAACTCCACTCCTAGATTCTATCCTAAGGAAATAATCAGAAATATGGGCAAAGATTTATGTACAAAGATATTCATTTTGGCAAACAAAACTTAATATTAGTAGCTTCATAATAATTCACTGAATCAATGCTTTAAAACATAATCATTTTCCTCTATTATTCATTTAGATCACTTCTCATTTCTCTATATTACAAATAAATACATATACTGTATGTGCATACAGAAGGAAGGAAGAGAGGACAGAAAGAGGAATGAAGTAAATAAATGGCAACTCAATGTGACTTTTATATATTTTGGATCATCTCCTAATATACATTCCCATAGGTCATATTACGGCTTCCCACAACGTTTACATGGCTCTTGACAGCCAATCTGCCTTATAAGGGTGTTGTAGCGTTTCACCCAGCCATGAACGAAGTGTGATAGTGCAAACTGTGCCATTGCCTCTCCAGTATCAGGTTTAATCACATAGTTGATTTTTTAAAACAGTTTTATGGAGATATAATGTATATAATATACATCTAAAATATACAACTCATGAGTAGCCCTCTAAGATACTCCACTGGTCTCACCCCATCTGGAGCAAGTGAGAATGAAGAAAACCAAAGACACAAGGGAAAGATTAGTCCAAAGGACCAATGGACCACAACTACCACAGCCTCTACCAGAAACTGAGTCCAGCACAACTAGATGGTGCCCAGTTACCACCACCGACTGCTCTGACAGGGATCACAATACAGGGTCCTGGACAGAGCTGAAGAAAAATGTAGAAGAAAATTCTAACTTACAAAAAAATAACCAGACTTACTGGTCTAACAGAGAACGGAGAAACTCCAAGAGTATGGCCCCCAGCCACCCTTTTAACTCAGTACTGAAGTCACTCCTGAGGTTCACCCTTCAGCCAAAGATTAGACAGGCCCATAAACAATAATACACGTAGCTCAACCATGTATACAAGACTAAATGGGCACATCAGCCCAGGAGCAAGGACGAGAAGGCAGGAGGGGATAGGAAAGCTGGATGAATGGAAATGGGGCACCCAAGATCAAGAAGGGGAGTGTTGACACGTTGTGGGGTTGGCAACCAATGAAACAAAACAATATGCGTATTAACTGTTTAATGAGAAACTAATCTGCTCCGTAAGCCTTCATCTAAAGCACAAAAAAAAGAAAACATACAACTCTATAGTTTTTAGTATATTTACAAAATCATGCAAGCATCACCATAACCTAATTTTAGAACACTTTCATCATCCCAAAAAGAAACCTTATAGCCGTTAGCAGTATCTCCCCATTCCCTCCTCACAGTGTGGCTTATTTTTACTAATAGATCACCCTAGTGTTTTTTCATGTTTTCTTGTAGATACCTCAGTGGCATTACATAATTGTTTCAAACCCATGAAATGAAATGACTCCTTCTGCTACTCCGATATTTCTCTGTTCTAAACTATAAAGTTTTCTGCTTCTTAAGCACTGGAAAGTAAAACATGTCAGAATGGCCTCGTGTTTTTCCAAAAGTTTTTTTTTTTTTTTTCTATAAAGCTATCATATAAGAGCTAAGAGACAAAAGATACCACATAACTACAAAAAAATCTGTGCTTATAAAAGCTATTATCAACTATCATTACTTTGGAAGTCCATTATAAAATCCAGCAAAAACATCACACAAGAACAAGGAATTTACTTATTTTAATTGGGTTATCAAGATCTGATAATAAAATAAAAAGTATAATTCGATTTATATAACATTTGACATATGATATAGAGTTGTCTTGATGCTACCAAAACAAAAACGAACAAACCTAATTTTCATTAAGCCAAAGCACTTTTTTCTCATGTCATAATTTTTGGGGCTCCATATATAGAGAGGAGCCCTGGTGGCAAAACGGTAAAGAGCTCGGCTGCTAACCAAAAGGTCAGCAGTTCTAATCCATCAGCCACTCCTTAGAAACCTTATGGCACAGTTTTACTCTGTCCAATAGGGTGGCTATGAGTCGGAATCGACTCAATGGCAATGCATTTGGTTTTATATATATATATAGAGAGAGAGAGAGATAGAGAGAGAGGCCCCGGTGGCACAGTGGTTAAGAACTTGGCTGCTAACCAAAAGGTTGACAGTTCGAATCTACAAGCCACTCCTTGGAAACCCTTTGGGGCAGTTCTACTCTGTCCCACAGGGTCGCTATGAGTCAGAATCGACTCAACAGCAATGGGTTTTGGTATAGCTCTAGAATGTAGTAATTTGTCTTTTGGGGATTTGGTAGTTGAAATAAGACTGAAAAAAGGTAGTTCAATAAGGAAGACCTAGTTTCCCCAATCATGTCAAACACTTTTTTTTAATAGTGGAAATCGGTTATAAAAGCAGAGGATGGAGGGAGGGAGACACTTCACTGACGGAAGTTATCCTCTCGCCTAAACCTCAGCTCTTTCTCTCCTCTCTTTATCTAACTCTAGACATCTCCCACGTCCCTCAAATAATGCAAGCGTTCCTGTTACTCAAATTAAGCAATTCGGCAATCCAATCAAATATTTTTATATGGCTTTAGTTATACAAAACACTTACCTGCACATCACCACAAAAAATGATCCTTATTGGTATTCAATTAGCTATAAGGACCCAAATTCTTTTTTTTTTTTTATTGTTGTAATTAAATGAAGTTTACATTTCAAGTTAGTCTCCCATACAGAAATTTTTTTTTTTTTTTACATACATTGTTATGAGACCCCAACCGCTCACCCCATTCTGCGACAGCACACTCCTCCCCTCCGCCCCTGATTCCCCATGAACATTCAACCAGCTCCTAACCCTCTCTGCCTTCCCATCTCACCTCTGGACAGAACCTGCCCCCTTGGTCTCTTGTATCTACTTGACTAAGAGGCACATTCTTCACAAGTATCACTTTATGTCCCACAGTCCAGTCCAATCCCTGTCTGAAGAGTTGGCCTCAGAAATTGTTTTAGTTCTGGGCTGATAGAGAGTCCAGGGGCCATGACTTCTGGGGCACCTCCAGTCTCAGTCAGACCATTAAGTCTGGTCTTCTTACTAGAATTTGAGTTCTGCATCCCATCATTCTACTGCTCCATCAGGGACTCTCTGCTGTGTTCCCTGTCAGGGCGGTCATTGGTGGTAGCCGGGCACCATCTAGTTCTTCTGGTCTCAGGCTGATGGAGTCTCTGGTTTATGCGGCCCTTTCTTTGTGTCTTTGGTGTTCTTCATTCTCCTTTACTCCAAGTGGTTGGGACCAACTGATGCATCTTAGATGGCCGCCTGCAACCTTTTAAGACCCCAGACGCCACTCACCAAAGTAGGATGCAGAACATTTTCTTAATAAGCTTTGTTATGCCAATTGACATAGGTGTCCCCTGAAAGCATGGTCCCCAGACCCCCTATCCCTGCTACTCTGTCTCTCAAAGTATTTGATTGTATTGAGGAAACTTCTGAGCTTTGGTTTAGTCCAGTTGTGCTGACTTCCCCTGTAGTGTGTGCTATCCTTCCCTCACCTAAGATAATACTTGTCTACTATCTAGTTAGTGAGTAACCCACACCCTCCCCACCCTCGTAACCATCAAAGAATGTTTTCTTCTGTGCTTAAACCTTTTCTTGAGTTCTTATAATAGTGGTCTTATACAGTATTTGTCCTTCTGTGACTGACTAAATTCACTCAGCATAATAAGTTCCAGCTTCCACCATGTAGGACCCAAATTCTTGTACTCCTTGTCTTTACCTCTATGTACAAAGCCACTGAGTATTCGGATACTTGCAAATAAAGTCGTTTCCTCATCTCACTAAAGAAAAATCTTATATAGGTAGCCTACTTTGAAGGCAAACGTTAAATAATAAACTCAAAAAAATGTGAGCCCAAAAAGGGCTAAAATATTTTAACATCCCTAGTTACACTTTCTGCAGGTCACACACATAGACAAATCACAGAGGTAAGAATCATCACCTGGCTTCCTGTTCTCAACCCAGCACCTCTACCACCCTATCATGGTACAGTGAGAGGAGCTGGGTTGAAAATAAAAACACTCCTACACCAACAGCAACAGCATACACAAGAAATCACCAAACCTTGCAATCCTGGAAGCGCTGGGACTAGGGTGGGCATGTTGCAGGTTGCCCTTGTGCTAATTAAAAAATACACTCCCAGGGTAGAAGGAACCCAGCTTCACTGTCCCAGTCCTTGGTAAGCGTGGTGTCTTTGTAAAATTTAGAAGGAGCCCCCTTCCACAGGGAGCACGGCTTGACAAGTAGGAGCAAGACTGGATTTCAGCCCCTCCTTGTACAGAAACAACCTGCACAACCCTGTGTAGCAGCCCTGGAGGTGGGTGGTGTGGAGGTATACCAGAGACTACCTGTCAGGAGGAAGGTCAACTCCTTCTTTCAATGAGAGAGGCAGACACACAGTTCCACCACGAGAAAGCTCAAAAAATAACTCATGTACAAAACACGAAATCTGTAGAAAAGGTAGTTCTAGAAATATCTCTCTAGACCATATAAAAGTGCTGGTTACATGAAAATCAAACACATTCACTATTTAAACTTTTCTTTTTTACTCTTATTATTTTGCTTGGGTATTTGGATATAAAGGTTTCAATAAAATATTTGTTTTAACTCTCTCTGAGATTCATACCACATAATAATCCATTTACGTATGGTCAAATATTCTAAATCTGCAATTGCACACTCATGATTACATGCACATTACCTTTTACACCACCAAATGAGCCATAAGTCATATTGCAGGCTGTCCTCTGAAGATTATGTTCATACATCAATTTGATCTGATATTGGTTCCCATGTTCCACATTACCCAACGTTCCTAAGGGAATAAAAAAGGATTGTTTTGTATTTGTTTGCATTATAAAATACAAACTTCTTCTCATCCTCTACATCAATTCTAAGTAATTCAATTTAACTGAAATTTAAAATGTCAAAGAACTAAAACATTACATATTATGAACAATTAGCATACTAATGACAGAATGCTGGCAAAGTTAACATAATTTAAGTCTCAGATAGATTACACAATTAGATGAAATCCTACCCTTGGTGACATTTTATTAACTATTTTCATAAAACAGATTATGTCTGAGTAATGCTTAATTACTTAAATAACAAAAAAATCTCAGTTCTAAAATAAATGAGGTTAAATTCCTTGCACTTACAAACATTAATAAAGCCAAGAAATGACTCAATGTGTCTTAGAAAAAAGAAAAGTTCCCACACTTTCAGACAATTCAATTTCCTGCCCCAACTCTCAAAATACTCAAGCCCCTAGTATATTATATTTTAATTTAATGGAGAGATCTTCTAAGCTTTCCTCAGCAAGTTAACAGGCCATTTTTTTTTTATTTGAAGTCTGCCAAGAAGAATCTCCTTCAAAACAAAGAAAAATAATAACCCTGCATTTTATAGATCACATATGCTACAATCACTTTCTAGTTCTTTCAAAATGAGAAAAGATTCTTTGTCTGTACTTCACTCTCTGGTAATAGGCTTGCTAGAATAATTAAAGGTGGAGCTATATTCCAGTGATCAGGCAGGAACATCACAGCTAAAATAGATGTTGGAAAGAAAAAAGATTCAGAAAGCAACACTTTCCACAAAGAAGTATCTTTTTTATTCATTCACTTAAAAATGCAAAAGCTAAAAAAAATTGTTTAAGTATCATTAAAAAAAATGAAATGCTATCAAACTGAAGATAGCATTAGATCATTAAAACAATCCAATCTGTTGGTATGTGTGCATGTAATTATATATGAACATTCATTTGTTTGGGTTTTTGTTGTTGTTGCTGTTGTGTTGTGGTGGTGGTGGTGGTCCAAAAGGATTTACCAACATATACCGAGGTTATAAAAATAGTTATTTTTATCTCTATTTTAGAACTGAGACAACTCAAGTTCATAAAAAATTAAGACATTTTCCCCAAATCACACAGCTGGTAACGGGCACAGGACTCAGTCCAGGTCTTGAGAGTCAGATACTGTATAATTTTGTGCCTGGTTGTCTATCAGTTCACTGTTTTAACAACCTTTGCAAGAACTTGGTCCTGACCCCAGTAAAGATTGGACTGCCCCTGGTATGCCAATGACCAGCTACCCAAAAGAAAGCAGCATCAATAACACACCATTTCCAGCTCCACCTTTCTCAGCCTGGCCTTTCCTTCCTCATTTAGGTGAAGGGTTGAAAGAGACCAATTTGACAGGGGAGGATGTCTTGGAGGAGAATCACTTCTACTCAGTTCTATGCCCCTGAGAATGGTAACAACAGACTTCACATATCAATAGAATAAAAAACAAAGAGAGAGACTCAAATTTGTCAGCTAACGCTGGTAGGAGACCAAAGCTTTCTTAATTCTAAAAGGTATTAAAACCAGCGAGGTCCAGAGAAACCAAGGGATAATCACAACCAAATCAGCCACATAGGCAAAAAAATTAAAATAAAAAAGCCAAATAACTTACAGCAGTAACCTGAGGAGAGCACAAGCCTCCAAGAAACTAGAAAAGAAGCTACAAGAGGCACCTGGTTTGTGCTACAGATAGTATAAACTTCACACTACACCTAAAACCAGACAGAAAAAACTATATAATTGCCATCAAGTCAATTCTGACTCATGGCGAACCCATGTGTTTCAGAGTAGAACTGTGCTCCATGGGATTTTCAATGGCTGTCACTTTATGGAAGCAGATCACCAGGACTTTCTTCCAAGGCACCTCTGGCTGGACTCAAATCGCCAACCTTTCAGTTAGTAGCCAAATGCTTAACCATTTGCGACACCCAGGAGTCCTAAAACCAGAGTACCCCTCTGAATAAAGAATGCACATAAGCATGCCTGCTAGCTGACTGACAGGCAGGGGCATCAGGAACTCATGTCAGTGAGCACAGGAGTCAGCAGTCAATATTTAAACAAACTTGGCATGAAAAGACAATACAATATTTGTTCTTTAAAAAATACAAATCTACTGGTAAATTTTAAAATTTCAGGTTATGTTACTTTACAACTTGATCATACAGCTATGAGAACAAAAGGCAAATTATTTTCCTTAGATAATATCTGGTAATAAAATAATAAAGGTAATAACTGATGATCTAAAAATTCTGAGCATTTTTCTAGATGCATCATTGACATAAAATTAGAATTGCTTACATAGGTTTTTGCCCTTGGATACACAGACTGAATATAGTAAGTATAGAAGCCCTGGTGCCACAGTAGTTAAAGCACTTGGTTGCTAAGTGAATGGTCAGTGGTTCGAACCTACCAGCCGCTTCATGGGAGAAAGGTGTGGCAGTCTGCTTCCATAAAGATTTACAGCCTTGGAAACACTATGAGGCAGTTCTGCGCTGTCCTATAGGTCGCTATGAGTTGAAATTCGACTCATTGGCAATGGGTTTGGTTTTGGGTTTGGTATAGTACGTATATATGTATAACTATAGTCTCTAGATAACAAAAGTTAATATAAAGTTTCACCAATTAGAAAGTAAGTGGATATTAGAACATTTATGCTGTTGGTCTTATTTAAACAAGCTCTAATTAAAAAATAAAAAATTCTCTGGAAAATCGAAGGTCACCTTGACAACAGCTTTCAGTGCAATTTTAGATAACTGCTAAGCAATCTAACGATGTTAAATAAAATCAAAGCTATTACAGAGTAAGTTAAAAGGTTCATGGTGTTAACAAACCAAATTTGATTATAAGCCTGTCAATAGTAAACAACCACATCTTTTTTGTCCCTCTCATGGCAACCATTAAAATCCTATAAATATGTCAAATACTTAGTAAATGCTTGTTGCGAAGTACACAATTTTTGGGAAAAAAAAATATTTAAGAGAACTTAATCAGTATGGCTTCAGTTACACATCTGTAACCATTTACCATATAGTGAAGCCCATCAGAAAGGAATCTGAGATGCCATGTGATGCTTCCCTTTACCAGAGTATGCTAAGATGGGCTAACTGCAGGTCACCATAACACTGCTGTTTCTCTATATAAGCATGCATTTGATGACATATCACCCACCAAAAACAAGTCAGCACAGTAGCCTCTGACTATTAAGGTTGTTTGGTATGTCTAGGAGAATGACTTTAAAAGGTCTCCTCTAGTTTGCCTCGAATCTCTTTTAGAAGCACACAGAGCATAAAAGAAAACAAAAAATATTTGGGCAGGGGGTAGTGGGAGGGATGTCAAGTTCAGCTAACACTTTTATCTGCTGACACCAGAGGTTTCACTTACACTAGAAGATTTTTCAGCTCTCCTTATTACAGTAAAAGTTTAGCCTGGAACCTCAAGAAATATGTTCAAGAGAACAAAAACATTAACTTCCTATGCTTCTCAATTTAAGCCAAGCCAGGAAAAATATACAAATTGTCAGCCTACAAATATCATAAGAGGTTGAAGAAATGAGAGACAAAGGAGGGAAGTGAGGTGGGGCAGAAGGGAATGTAGTTTGGACAACTCCTAGTCCCCAGAGAATGCAAATGTTTGAAATGAATAAGAATAAAGGAGTAGTAAAATCACCATTCCCGTGGCAAATAACTTTCATTTTTAACACTGACTTGAAAGAGCATAAAAATGTCCCATAAACAAGTTGTGACCAAACACGTCAGTTTCTTTTAGTAGGCTTTTTTGAAAAAACATATTTATCCCTAATTCCCAAAAGAACTCTAGCGGCTTCTGTTTTCTGGGCCATAGATCAAACAGGATCAGGGAAGGCTACCAGTCTAACCTAATTTCTAGTTTCTTGGATGCCTCCTTCCTCTCTCCCGCTTAGAAACCCCACGGAAACTCCAGAAGGGACCAATTCTCCAAGGAGTATTCAGGCATAACTGTGGTCAAGTTCTCCTCCTCCATGGCCTGTGTAACCCAGTTAGTATAATATCCCTTGCAGTTAACAGGCTTATAATCAAAAACAGAGGAACAACTAGATCTGTGCAATAAGGCAGCCTATATTATACCTTCTCCATTTAACCTGGAACACTAAACACTTACCCTATCACTAGGAGGAGCAATATTGTTTACCACAAAACCAATAAGAGTGTTTAACAATGACAGTGAAAAGCACTACATCGGCCCTCTGATATAAATAGAGTAGAAAAGAAAATGATAGTGGCAATAAAGAAGGAAGTAAACAGCACAAGGTTGAGAGTAATAAAGAGCCACTACCAATTGCCCCAGCACTGCTCATAAGTTTGTTCACTCATTCATTCAATGAGTATTTCCTAGATGTCTACCATACACTATACACCTGGTTACCAAGGCTACCTTAGGTATCTAACAGATCTTTACCCCAAAAAGAGACCACCTACAAATACCCAGCTCAGTGACAATAAATATGAATCATTACTCAAATCTAAAAGCAAAATACAAAGAAAGCCCAAATCAAGAGAATGAGTCTGAAAAATCCAAATCCTGAAAGCTAATACTTACGGTGAACTCCAAAGGAGAGTATCTTTTACATAAAATATCACACCACAGATATTTTATTGTACCCATAAAAAATTTTCCCAACATTCAAGAAAACTACTGGAACTAACAGAAGATTTGAGCAAAGTTTCAGGATACAAGATAAACATACAAAAATCAGTTGGATTCCTTTACACCAACAAAGAGAACCTTGAAGAGGAAATCACCAAATCAATACCATTTACAATAGCCCCCAAGAAGATAAAATACTTAGGAATAAATCTAACCAGAGATGTAAGAGACCTATACAATGAAAACTACAAGACACTACTGCAAGAAACCAAAAGAGACCTGCATAAGTGGAAAAACATACCTTGCTCATGGATAGGAAGACTCAACGTTGTGAAAATGTCAATTCTACCCAAAACGATCTACAGATACAATGCAATCCCGATCCAAATTCTCACGGATTTTCTAATGAGATGCAGAAACAAATTACCAACTTCATATGGAAAAGGAAGAGGCCTCGGATAAGTAAAGCATTACTCAAGAAGACGAACAAAGTGGGAGGCCTTACACTACCTGATTTTAGAACCGATTATACCGGTAGTCAGAACAGCCTGGTACTGGTACAACAACAGATACATAGACCAATGGAACAGAATTAAGAATCCAGACATAAATTCTTCCACCTATGAGCAGCTGATATTTGACAAAGGTCCAAAGTCGCTAATTGGGGAAAAGAGGGTCTCTTTAACAAACGGTGCTGGCATAACTGGATATCCATCTGCAAAAAACTGAAACCAGACCCATACCTCACAGCATGCATAAAAACTAACTCAAAATGGATTGAAGACTTAAATATAAAATTGAAAACAATAAAGATCATGGAAGAAAAAATAGGACAATGCTAGGAGCCCTAATATGTGGCATAAACACAATACAAACCATAAGTAACAATGCACAAGCACCAGAAGAGAGACTAGATAAACGGGAGCTCCTAAAAATCAAACACTTATGCTCATCAAGACTTCACCAAAAGAGTAAGAAGACAACCTACAGACTGGGAAAAAAATTTTGGCTACGACAAATCCGATCAGCCTCTAATCTCTAAAATCTACAAGATACAGCAAAACCTCAACAACAAAAAGAAAAATAACCCAATTAAAAAATGGGCAAAGGATATGAATAGGCACTTTGCCAAAGAAGATATTCAGGCAGCTAACAGACACATGAACAAATGCTCACGATCATTAGCCCATTAGAGAAATGCAGATCCAAACTACAATGAGATATCATCTCACCCCAACAAGGCTAGCATTAATCCAAAAAACACAAAATAATAAATAACAGAGAGGTTGTGGAGAGACTGGAACATTTACACACTGTTGGTGGGAATGTAAAACGGTACAATCACTTTGTAAATTGATTTGGCACTTCCTTAAAAAGCTAGAAATAGAAGTACCACACAGTCCAGCTATCCTGCTCCTTGGAATATATCCTAGATAAATAAGAGCCATCACACAAACAGATACATGCACACCCATGTTCACTGCAGCACTGCTCACAATACCAAAAAGATGGAAACAACCTAGGTGCCCATCAACGGACGAATGGATAAACAAATTATGGTATAGCCACACAATGGAATACTATGCAACGATAAAGAACAACGATGAAGTCGTGAAACATCTTACAACATGGAGGAAGCTGGAGGGCATTATGCTGAGTGAACTTAGTCAGTCACAGAAGGACAAATATTGTATAAGACCACTATTATAAGAACTCAAGAAAAGGTTTAAGCACAGAAGAAAACAT